GTTCCAGAAGCAGCCATGCAAGCCCAAGCCATGACATTACCTCCACCATGTTTCACCGATGAGCTTGTATGTTTTGGATCATAAGCATGCTTTCTTTCTCCATACTTTGGCCTTTCCATCACTTTGGTAGAGGTTAATCTTGGTTTCATCAGTCCATAAAACTTTGTTCCAAAATGTTTGTGGCTGATCTCTGTACTTCTTTGCAAAATCCAATCTGGCCTTCTGATTCTTTTTGCTGATGAGTGGTTTGCACCTTGTGGTATGGCCTCTATAATTCTTCTCTCTAAGTCTTCTTTGAACAGTGGATTATGATACCTTCAGCCCTGCCCTGTGGAGGTTGGCAGTGATGACAGTGACTGTTGTCTTTGGTTGTTTCTTCACAGCTCGCACAATGTTTCTGTCAACAACTGCTGTTGTTACCCGTGGCCGACCTGTTCGATGTCTGTTGCTCAGTACACCAGTAGTTTCTTTCTTTTTCAGGACATTCCAAATTGTTGTACTGACTATGCCTAATGTTTGTGCAATAGCTCTGATCGATTTTCCCTCGTCTCTCAGCTTCAAAATGATTTGCTTTTCTCCCATTGACTGCTCTCTGGTCTTCATGTTTGCTTAACAGCAAATACTTCTTTCACAGGTGAAACCCAAAGCCAAAAGCAAGAACTATTTAATGTCTCAGCAATCAAGCTAAAGGGCACCACCTGAGCAACTAGAAACACCCATCAGTCACATGTTCTAATACTTTTGCTCACTTGAAATGTGGGTGGGTTCAAAGAAAAGGGGCTTAGTACTGAGTTGTTTAACACACCTGGATGTCAATGCCATGAAATAAAAGCTGGAATTCTGAACTTTTGTCTCATATTCATCTTTTGATCTGAAACCCAAATGTCTTCAGTATACAACAAAAACAAAAGAATTGCCCTTGCTGTTCCAATACTTGTATATGTTTACAAAGACCTAGTGACATTCTTCTCTTCTTTTGTTCCCATCAAATAATGACTTTCTGTTTCATTATAATATTAACTTTAAAAAGCCTGACTAGCCTTTTCATTTCAGTTTAGAATATAATCTCTTAAAAAGTAATACTTTTAAGAGCAGTTTAACTGAGTTTTTCTCCTTCCGCAAGATTCAAAGTTGTATTTTTCAACAGCCTTTGACTTCTGAGAATCATATAAACAAATCAAGCTTTTTCCCAGGATTACCTTCACTATCAAGACTAATACACATTTGAAAAAGAAAAAAACTAACAACGCTAGATTAACTCTAGTCTCTGTAGACTTGCTTTGACCCTTCTTGTCATCTTAAGGAGCACTTGCACAGCAAAGTTTGTTTTTCCACAAGCAAATTTAGTTTATCATGGAAAACGAATTACTAAATATTCTGGAGGGAGACTTCAAGCTTCCTGTTTGCGGCAAAACTTTATAAAGAGCTCCACCAACAACAAAGGAAATTAATGAATTATTAAATGTGTCCTAAAAAGTAACTAATGAGAGAAAACAGGGCTAGTACTTTATTTATATGTACTGTCCTTTTGGGTCCCTTCAATATTAAAATAAAATGTTTAAGTCTCTGTAGTTGGATTTAAGATTGTTTTTCCACAAATTTTACTCACCACCAGGCATCCAGGAAAACACTCTGATCCACATTGTTTTTGCACTTGTTTGGGAATACACTTTCTAGATGGTCAACTGTACGAGAGATGTCAAAACGATGGCACAATCGTTTTAACGTCGCCACATTACCTGCCGCTGCAGAGAAGCCATCGTGCGAAGGAATAATGAGGGATTATTTTTTGAATGACACTGGCCATCACCATGGTAACCACCAGCTGTACACCGATCACACCCTGTGGACAAAAACATGGAGGTTTTTTAAATTGACTTAAATCGCAACCATCCATCATACAATACATAAAGTGGTCACAAATATTTGGGTTTAGGACACACTGCACAATGGGAAATGTATATTTAAATAAATGTTTTAAAAATGTTCAAGTCTGAGTTTTGGCAATGCATCATAAATGCAATAAACACATAAATGCAACAGTTGCTAGTAGATCACGTATTACAGCGTGAGCATGTGTAAATGTGTGACGGGGATGATGGGAGACATAATTTACAACAATGTACACTGTGTTCCAAATTGTTATGCAAATTATATTTTTCTCTGATTTTCCTAAATAGGTAATGTAAATGACAGTCATCATAATTTTTAAGTTATTAACTGTTAGAGTACAATTCAAATGTTACTGAACAAACCTCCCAATGATAACAGTATTTTTTTTCTAAAATAAAAACTTAAAATGCACCGTTTCAAATTATTACGCACAACAGAATTTCAAATTTTATTGTTGTAAAGAACTAAAAATAGTCATTTGTTAAATTAGAAGCATCAGCAGGTCAAACCTTAGATATTTCATGAAAACTTAAGCGTGATCATCGTACTATTAAGAGATTTGTAGCTGATTCAGAGCACACACGGGTTCGTACAGATAAAAGCACAATGAGGAAGGTTTCTGCCAGACAAATACATTGGTTTAGGAGAGCAGCTGCTAAAATGCCATTACAAAGCAGCAAACAGATATTTGAAGCTCCTGGTGCCTCTGGAGTCCTGCGAACATCAAGGTGTAGGATCCTCCAGAGGCTATTCGGCCACTCTTAACCAATGCTCACAAGCGGAAACGGCTCCAGTGGGCCCAGAAATACATGAAGACTAATTACTTGCAGTTATGCATAAACCTTCTAGTCGGCCACCCTTAACCAATGCTCACAAGCGGAAACAGCTCCAGTGGGCCCAGAAACACATGAAGACTAGTTCTCAAACAGTCTGATGAGTGCCGTGCATCCAGATGGATGTTGTGGTGGATGTCCCACTGGACTGCGACATCAGCAAGGAGGTAGCAGAGTCATGTTTTGGGCTGAAATTATGGGGAGAGAGCTGGTCGGCCCCTTTAGGGTCCCTGAAAGTGTGAAAATGACCTCTGTAAAGTATGTGGAGTTTCTGACTGACCACTTTCTTCCATGGTACAAAAAGAAGAACCGTGCTTTCCATGACAAAATCATCTTCATGCATGACAATGTATCATGCTGCAAGGAATACCTCTGCATCATTGGCTGATATGTGCATAAAAGAAGAGAAACTCATAGTGTTGCCCCCTTCCTTCCCTGAGCTCAACCCTATTGAGAACCTTTGGAGCATCATCAAGCAAAAGATCTATGAGGGCAGGAGGCAGTTCACATCCAAACAGCAGCTCTGGGAGACTATTCTGAAATCCTGTAAATAAATTCAAGCAGAAACACTCCAAAAACACACAAGTTCAATGGATGCAAGAATTGTGAAGCTCCTATCAAATGCGGGGTCCTATGTTAAAATGTAACATGACCTGTTAAGATGTTTTTGATTGAAATAGCATTTGATTTCAGTAAATATGACCTGCTGATGCTTCTAATTTAACAAATGAACAATCTTAGTTCTTTATAACAACAACATGTTTTGAAATTCTGTTGTGCGTAATAATTTGGAAACGTGCATTTTATTTATTTTTTTTTTTAGAAGAAAAATACTGTTATCATTGGGAGGTTTGTTCAGTAACATTCGAATTGTACTCTAACATTGATCACTTGAAAATTATGATGACTGTCATTTACATCGACTATTTAGGAAAATCAGAGAAAAATATAATTTCCATAATAATTTGGAACGTGGTGTATGTCAGACAAACAACAGTTCTGCTGTATTTAGCACAAATGTTTTGCCGTATGTTTATCACAACATACCAACCATTACTATTAGCTGTAAGGTATTCAATTATTGTGGCACTTTGGCCCAGAGGCAATGTCTCTGTCATTGGTGTGGAACCTCAGGGTTCACCTCCTGAGCAAGTTCAAATCCCGTTTAGGGCGGTTGGTACCTTCCAGTGGACTCACCACCTGCAGGAAGGTTTAGGGCGGTTGGTACGGTGCAATGTGATTTGGGTGGCGACTGCTGCCCCCGCGACCTGGTAACGGATAAGCAGATGAAAATGGATGGATGGATGGATGGTATTCAATTATTGACCATCCACTGAACATATGTAATATTTTTTTATTACAATTGTGTTTATACAACATAAATTAAATGTACCCAGCATGGAAACTGTCAGCTTCACCACATGCCCAGTGACAGAAGAATTAAGCTGAGCACTTCTTCACCAGTACCACAAGGGGCTTATTTCAGCCTGGCACATTTCAGATCAATATTCACTGGGGCTTATGAGGCCAAATCATTACTTTCATGCTGCGCTTTTATCAGTTCACTGCAGGAGAAGTTAAGCGAGTGGGCCTCTCTCTTTGGCGTTTAGTAGAAATCATTGAAATCTGTGCCTGCACACACTTGAGCTGCAGCAATTGGCTGATAATGCTTTGTTGTTTTGCCAACAACTGTTTAAACTAGAGTTTAGCGTCATGGTATATGCTAGTAAATCCCACCCATCACCTTGAAGTGCAGACATAATGACATAGCCATTGTCCTATCTACATATTGTTTACACAACAACTATGGGGCCAAACACAGCTATCTGACCCTTGTTTACAATACTTATTTTGGGATAGCTTCAATGAACCATCACGAAACCAAAATAAAACCAAATTTCTTTTTTCAGCAGTCACTGATCTTATATGTTTGGACTCTCAAGTTGGTCTGGCGTTTCTCCAGGACCTCTGGCTTTATCTGACAGACCTAAAAATGTGTAGCTAATTTATACTGATAACTTTAAAGAGCTTAGGGGGCAGTGGTGGATTAGTGGTTAAGGAAGCGGACGTGGGTCTGGAAGGCTTCAGGTTCGAGTCCACCAACTGCCAAGTTACCACTGAGGTGCTCTGAGCACGGCAGACACTGCACCCACACACTGCACCATGGGTGCTTAAAGCTGCCCACTGTTCACTTTAGTGATGGGTTAAAAGCAGAGGTCACATTTCGTTGTGTGCTGTGTCACAATGACAAGTAGTTCACTTTCCTTTCCTTAAAAGACAAAATTAATGGTGATGTGATGTGATGAGCAAACCTAACTGTAATGTGTTCACAATAAACACAGGGTGACACTTTACTTCTAAAGGAGAGAACTAAATAGAGAAGGGGCTGTGGCAACTTTATAATTTTAATTCTTACAATTAAAATAAATACACTACCCTATTATCAAGCATGTATGTCTTTAAATTACTGGCATTGGTAACAAAATACTTATAGTTGCAAAAAAAAAAAGAAAAAAGAAATTACCCAATGTATATGAAGTAAGAAAACTATACAGACAGTGATGATTTCAGCCTCGTGCACCAGTCCCACATGGAGGATCAGTCAAGGCTGTGTCCACTCTCACCTAGCGTGAGGTAAAAAAACAAAAACAAAAAAAAAAATCAATACTTCCTCTGGAACACTCAACACATGCCCTAACAGAGTCTATCTGACCCAAAATATTCTTCTATGTCAATAATGGTCATGTTATATGGGTCAGAATCTGACAGCCTAGGTACCAATGCTACCAATCCTCTGTAGGGGAGCTGCAAGGATATCAGGACCAGGAGAAATTGAGCCAGCATGGACACTCTTATCTTGCCCCTTCCACTTTAAACCCTACACTACCAAATGAAAGCAGTAGGGGGTTGTGAAAGGTAGCAGCAGTTGTTTCCACAACATCAAAAAGCTTTACCATCTAACAACTATTTTACCCTGAAACTAAGTCTGAAGCCACAGACAGCCTTACCAGCCCACAAGTATTCAATTCTATCAACTGGAGTATTCTTTCGTGTAATTACTGCAGTCATTAAGTGTTAAGATTTGTGAAAACATTTATTTAACCTTTGCAACAGATTTGTATATTAGGTTTCCATATCAATTTATACTATTATTGAATGCTGTTATGTTGTACTAAATGAAAAAGTACTGAAGGATGGTGTGTGGTACGGATAGCACTGACCATCACGCTTGGAGAAAGGTCACAGAACCAGTCTGAACTAGTTTCTTTGCCTAAAATAATGAGAACAAAAGAATACCAAGAGGAAAATATTTAAACTGCATATGTTTGATCTTACCTGACTAATTGAACAGAATGATTCAAAGCATGCACAAAGATCCTATTGGTGGAGAATCTTTGTTTGTATTAACCCTGGCCAATGAGCACCCAGAAGAGGCACGTGAACACCTTATGGCTGAGTAATGCAGGGAAGGCATTGACTGTTACCAACAAACTGTATAAAGGCTTTGTGCACTGAAAAGTTCCTCAGTGCAGTTCTGAATGTAACCATTGTCCTGCACTCCTTGCTGCAAGTAAAACTTTACAACTTAGAGATATCGTATTTGACTCTGTGTGTTAGGAAGCTAGGGTATTGTAAATAGAATTTATAGTTAGTTACCAAAGTGTGTTAAACCAAAGTGTGGTGAACTATAAACTGTTATCTAAGTGTGTTAAATAATGGTCTGCTTGACAAAAGTAGGTACCCCTAAAAAGTTTTTTACTATGTAGGTAAATAAAGGATGAGGTCTGTTTCTCATCAAGTATGGGAATCGGATGAACTCTGACCTAGGAGTAAAACTTAACCAAAAAAACAACTGCCCAGTACTTGTGAAACTTTCTCAATAAAAGGAGCTGCAGTCCTCATACACTTTGGGACTTCGGTGAGCCAACTCTGCGAAGCTGTTGGTCTCTCTGCTCCCCCTCGCAGCGAGTAAAAACTACAACGTTGTCAGGTGTGGTTCTTTTCAGGTCATTCTATCTGCGGCAGTTAGATGAACCAATAACAGGTATGAACCAATAATGTATCTTACAGTTCTATCTAACAGATAAAGACATTCCTGACATTAAGTCTGTTACTC